ATTTGCTGGCCCGCCTTCACTTAGGGCGGGCACTAGGCTTGCTCGGGCCTTAGCCCAGAACATGTACATCATGGCAAGGCCCCTTCTTGAGGGCTCAATCCTCACATTCCATCCCCCTTAGCTTCGAAAGTCCGCTGAGATGCTTACTTCGCAGGTGCCTTCCCTTTTAACATTCTCTCATACTCTGCCACCACTTGAGGAGCTGTGTCAATCAATTCCTCTCCGGTGAACCATCGATCTTCCTTTGGATCATGATGCATGAATCTGACGCGATACTCCCGCTTGGGTTTTGGAGGTCTTCCTTTACCCAATGGCTTTTGAACTGGCAGATCTCTGTGATCCACAATGTCGTCGATGTCCACTTGACCATCCATGGTTGGGGGCAGCATCGATCTCCTTGAAGGGAATTGATCTGTCTCAGCGAAAGGTGCAAGCTTTGAGACATGAAAGACAAGGTGAGTGCGTAGGGGTCCAGGGATACGGATAACATAGGTAGGACCATCCATCTCATCCCCCACTGCATCCAGGACTTCCCAAGGACCAAAATACTGTGGCATTAGTTTACGAGAGATCCCGAATTCCTGACCTAGCTCACTAGCCTTGACCCAGACACGTTCCCCTACCTGAAACGAGGACTGTCGTCGGTGCTTGTTCTCAGAAGCAATCATTGCTTGCTGAGCTTTCTTGATGTGCTCGACAGCTTGCTGTAGCAACTTCTCATATTGCACACCATACTCAAGTGTGCCTGGAGTTGCAGAGGATCGGTTCTCAGGTAGGAGGAAGTCTAGAGCTGATCTAGGCTTCCATCCCAAGTGCAGCTGATTAGGACTGACGTCGGTACTGCTGTGTACAGCATTGTTGTACAGGCTGGCGATGAGAGGCAACTTCTCATCCCAATCATCCTGGCTTGGCTTGATGTAATGCCTCAGCAAGTGCTGTACAACTCTGTTCATTTGTTCGGCCTGCCCGTTGGCTTCGGGATGATTCCCTGAAGTCATCTGAAGTTGACTGCCCATCTGCTCAGCAGTCTTCTTCCACAACTCACTTGTGAATCGGACATCTCTATCACTAACAATTGACTTTGGAAGTCCAAAATCACGCACCCAGTTGTCCATAAACAACTTGATGACGTGGTCTGTCCTGGCGGTCTCTGGCATGGCAATTAGTCTAGCGTACTTGGTGAATCGATCAATGATGACGAAAATGTGCCTCTTGCCAGTCTTACTGGTCACCAGGGTGTCCATGAAATCCATGGAAACACTCTGTCCTCGACCAGCGGGGATAGGTAAGGGCTTCAGCAACCCAAGCGGTGCTTGAGTTCGCGGCTTGTCCCGCTGACAGACCTGACAGGTCTCTACATACTTCTTTGCGTCATCTAGCATTCCAGGCCACCAAAATCGTTGTACTAGATTGGCACTCGTCTTTTTGTAGCCAAAGTGTCCGGTTGCATCAGGACATTCTCCTAGAAATAAACTACGCAAACTCTCACTCGATGGAACTACTAATCTTTTACACCCGGCCTTATCAAGAAAGAGTAACCCATCCACCATCACAAACTCACTTTCTGTGGCCTTGTCTTTTGCGTGAAGTTTGCGCATGATGTCCATCATGACAGGGTCTTCCTGATAGGCTCCCACCAACGATTGAGTTACTTCCTGGGATACACCACACTCATAAACTAGCGCCCCTAGGTAGTTTGCTCTACGAGATAGCGCATCTGCAACCTTGTTGTACTCTCCCTTCAGATACTCAAGCTTGAAGTCATATTGATCTATGACCTCAATCCAGCGCTTGAGTGCATCAGAAAGAGCCGGTTGAGTCTTGATCCATTTGAGCGTCTAATGGTTAGTTCTCAAGTAGAAGAACCGTCCCAACAGAAAGTGTCTCCAATGGACAAGTGCCTTGTAAAGAGCATAGAGTTCCCTTTCGTAGGTGGACTCTGCCAATTTCTTCGATGGCATCTTCTTGCTCATGTACTCAATCGGTCTTGACTTTTTCCCATCCTGCTGAGCCAGCACTGCGCCAATGCCGTATTGGCTTGCATCAGTGGTCACTATGAACGACTTATGAGGATCGGGCACCATGAGAACCTCATGATTCATGAGTGCATGCTTCAATCGTTTGAAAGCAGCCTCACACTCATCACTCCAGTCCCACGATATGTCAAGTCGAGTTAGATCTGTCAAAGAAGAGGCGACTGTAGAATAGTTCTTTACGAAGTTTCTATATTAGCCGCACATTCCTAAGAAAGATCTGACCTCAGTAACAGTCTTAGGTCGTGGCCAGCCCTTATACTAGCCACCTTCGCACCTTCCGGCCTAATCCCTTCCGCGGATACTTCATGACCCAAGTATAATATCTTAGTGCGACCAAACTCACACTTCTCTAGGTTGACCTTATACTTGTGTTGTCGCATGAGTGAAAGTACAGTCTCAACGTGTTGTGCATGCTCCTCGACAGACTTACTAAAGATCAGAATGTCGTCAAGGTAAACCACGACAAACTTATCTAAATGGTCATGGAAGATCCGATTCATGGCATGCTGGAATGTTCTCGGCGCATTGCAAAGACCAAAGAGCATGACTACAAACTCATACAGACCATATCGAGTCTGAAAAGTTGTCTTGTGTTGGTCCTCAGGTCTTATAGCGATCTGATGATAGCCGGATTGCAAGTCTATCTTGCTATAGTACTTGCATCCCTGCACCCTATCCAGTAGGTCGTCTATGCGAGGTAGAGGTTCTGCGTTCTTCACTGTGATGGCATTGAGGCCTCTATAGACAATGCACATCCTCAATGTACCCCCCTTCTTTAGTACAAATAGTACTGGAGATCCGTAAGGGGAAGTACTAGGCCGGATCCATCCCTTCTCTGTCAGCTCTTTCAGTTGTCGCCGAAGTTCATCTAACTTGGCGGGAGTCATCCTATAGATCCTTCCCTTTGGGGTTTTACTCCCTGGAATGATTTCTATAGCGTGGACAACTTCCCTTTCTACAACTCCTGTAGGCTCTTCGAACAGATCAGGGAACTTAGCAACGACGTGTTCTATCTCTGGGGGTGTTTTAACGGCCTCTCCTTTCTCAGAGACATACACTAGGTACATACCCTCCTCTTGGTTCTGTTTGTAATAGTTATAGAACGCTGATGCACACAAGCAGCCATAGGTATCTATAATGCTACTGGCTTTGAACTTAGTCAATCTGACTGTTCTGCCATCAGGCAACTTATGTTTTAGCACCTTCTTGTCCCAGTCAAACTGGGGTTTGGCAACCTCAAGGTAGTACATGCCTAACAACATGTCGAATGGTAAGTCGTCGCTAACAAGGAACGGAATCTTATGATGAAGTTCCCCTCCTCTATAGGAGAAGGTACAGACCACATCCTTGATATAGTCTGTGACTATCATACGCTCCTTATTGGCCAAAGTAGATGCTACGGGTCTACTAAGGTGTTGTACCCGGTCCTGTAGGTGCAACCTTTCCAAACAGTCGCGACTTATGTAATTCCGCGTGGATCCAATGTCTATGAAGGCACCACATTTGCGGCCTCCTACATCAACTTCCACCACGAAATGTTCCCCTCTAGGACCCTTCCTTAGTGCCACCCAAGATTCACGAGGGTCCTTGTTTGACCACTTGCTTTCTAGATCTTCTAAGGCTTCTGACACATCCAACGTACAGAGCATAGTTTGGTCTGGATGAGTCTGCGGGGTGACTAAAGAGTCATTAGCTATGGCCATCTCATGAAGTGGGGAGGGTATCGGGCCCACTTCACCATGAGTTGAAGCAGCTAAAACTTCCACTGGCCTCACATGTTTCTCGAGCTAGAAGCCTGGGAAGAAGATGCCCCCATCTTAGGAGGTATCTTCTGCGTGACCTTTGCGTTCTGGCACTTGTACTGGGTGTGTCCGTATTCACCACAGTTTATACAAGAGCCACGCACTCGGCGGTCCCGCCACACGTCTTGATCAAGACCTGCCTTGACCCAATCAGCCACTTTGGTCTGATTGGAGGCGGCCTTCCCTTGACTCTTTGGATGGCCCTTCCCTCGGCCACCCGCCTTAGCCTTGACTACTGCGGCGAGGGTGCTACCCTCAGCGATCTCCTCGCCGTCGTACTCTGAAACGTCCAGCAGGTCTGTGAGCTCATCGATCTCTGTTTGAGTCCCATCGGACTCAACCATCATCAACTTAGCCCCTTTCTTCTTCCATTCCTGCGGACTCTTCTTCTTCCTCGTGTCATTCTGAGAAGGTTGAGCGTTTCCTAGTGTGGCCTCCAAATCTAAGGCTTTCCTAGACAACGTCTCAAAGGAGTGATACTCGAGGCGAGCCTCAATGGCCAACAAGTTTCTGAGATTCTCTGGTAGACATCTCACAAACGTGGTCAATAGGAACTGATTGTTGTAGTTTATACCGGGAACGACGATGAGGCTCTCTATGGTAGTTGTAAGCTCCCTGACTGACTTGAACTTTCATTGGTCTAGTCTGTTTATCGCATCAGTGCCCATTTGTGCCTGCTGAGGATTGTGCCATCGAGCTTCTGCCATTTCCATGAACTGGTCTAGCGTAATTGTCCTAGCCCAGTCCGCCATACGTCGTCTGTACCCAGCCTTTGTCACTACACCATCCAGCCATTTGGCTGCCTTACCCTCGAGGTAAGATGCAGCAGCAATCACCTCCTCCTCCTGCAAAGTCCTCTTTGCCTTCACCCAAACCGGAACTGTTCTCAATCAAGTGTTGAGCTTTTCGTCGTTCTTCTCGCCTGAAAAGCCAAGAGGCGGTTTCATAGGGGTCTTAGGGTACCAAAGACCTTGCAGCTGTCCCTGTGGAGGAACAGGTTGTTGCGGTGGTGTAGCTCCCACCGCTGGACCCGAAGAAGAAGAAGCAACAATCTGTGAGACTGCTGCAGACGTGCCACTTGGTTGTGTGCCAGCTTGCATGGGAAAGGGGCCTTACATCGCCGTTAACGGTAACGGCGACTGTGCTGGTGGCCTAAATCTTGGCCTTTGTAAAAGGTCCAAGATCTGGTCTAGGGTGTGCTGCATAAAGTCCAATCGGTTGTCCACGTGCGCATGCAGCGACAAAATATTGTTCTTCAATGTTTTCATTGAGTCGGACAGTCCTGACTCATCCAAACCCTCTAACTCAACTTTGTCTGCCTCTAACGTTTCAAGCCTGGTTGTTCTATTTTTTATCTCTCTTTCTCTATGGGTTGCTTGCTTCAGTTCCCTCTCTAATTGTTCACGGATCCTTTCGACCTGTTGGAGCTCTCTAAGCTCCCTTTAGCGTGGGGTCAACGGGCTGAACTGCGAGCCCGCCATTTGACTTGTATATTGTCGAGACCCTACTGAACTGGAAGTACCCGTGGACCCTGTGGGCATTCCCAACATGGTCCCATTGGTCCCAGACAAGGACGCAACAGAGGATGCTGCTGAGGAAGCTATGGCTGCTGCCCTGGCTGCTGCTGCAGCCTGTTCCCTAGTTGCGGCGTTCGCTGTTTCCCTAGCTGCTGCTAGTGCACGGGCTCTGCGTTCGGCACGAAGCCGTCCTTCGTCTCCCGGTTGTAGGGCCTGAAACACGTGCGGGATCCTACGTGATCTCGAATGTGTCAGTCTGGCATCGTCAACTGTTCCCTCATCGATGTCTGACCCGTTCATCAATTAGGGAAACATTATCTGCACTAGAACCCCCTAGTGGAGTCCTACCACAGCATGTGTCTGGCCGGCACCTAATTTTCTAAAAATAGTTGTGTCCGGCAGGTCCCCTACTTTACCGATCAAATGGCAAATCTACAGCATTCACAATAGATTGTCAACATAATCTAGATGTATCTTGATTGGTTCACTTACATCAGCATTAGATAGAACTGGCTATGGTAGTATACAACAATCCTACTCTAATCTGTCTGTGAGGTGTTAGCAGTCTGTCCACCAACTAATCAAAGATAAAAGAAGACCAAGTTGCAGATGTATGAATAGTGGGTATGGTTGTGTTTCCAATTGAGCATCAATTAGAACCTACCCTCCCCTCAATCCAACATACCGAACAGCATCAATGAGCAGCGGTGTCTTCGTGTGTGTTTTCGGCCCACCCCTGTGCCCAAGTACGCTGAGCAAGCCAGCCAGTCCACTCTTATTTACCCTCGTACGGAACGAGCCTTACACCCGGTTGATCTGGCTGATCAGGAGGAATTTTAAGAGCGCCCCCATCTCTTCAGGAATTATTTAACGTCGCAGCCAGGACGACTATCACAGCCAGATTCAATCCGAGTCCCCAACCATAAATGTTTATAGACGGTCTGGTAAGCGTCTCATAAAAGGCTGGCACACCCGGCAGGACTTCTATTCAGCGCAGCAAGTGCCAAAATGGACAGCAGCCATCGCATGCATGACCTACTCCCATTGGGTTGGCATGGTGACTGTGACCCAGTGCTTCGACCAGGGCCCTTCAGAGGCACCGCCCTTTCTCCTTCCAGATGCTTCCGGGAAGATTGTCGTCTCTCAAGGTAGCGCGCTCACGACACCT